ATACGAAAAATGTGTCAAATATAATTTTATCTGTGACATTCCGATCTTTCCGGTCACATATTGAAACTTCCGGCATCACTTCCGGTTTAACCGGATTTTGATGCAACTTTTGTTTATTAAATGCAAGATTTTAAGGTATTTGAAAATATTAATCAATTTGCTGTACGACAACATAAAATATGCATATGGTTAATATGTATACAAAAAAATGCAGAAATTTGTGAATGAATTACTAGAAAACTTATGAAATCTAGAATACCGTGTGCTGTCAGGATGCGCCGGGTCTGTTGTGTTACACCGGGAGATCGTAACGCGCAAAAATAAGATTGCTTTCACATTGGCGATTTTTAGCAGCGCGGCAAAACCAACCGGCTGGGAACGTCAAGTCAGTCAAGTGTCAATAGTGAAATGAATTCCGACGAAAAAACACTTATTTTTGCCCTACTGATAAGTTAAATTTTACAATTTAATTGGCAGTAATTTTTTTAGAAGGCTAGGTACTGAAAAGGAAAAAAATTATAGACTTCGCTGCTAAACATGCACTAAAATTTTACAAAAGAAGTGCAAAATGTGTTGTAACAGAAGTGAGTGAGTGGGTAAAATAATAGAAAAAAGATCGGGATTTATTTGGGCACAAGCCCAACGGGAACTAAAAGAAAATTATCATTATTGTCCATATTTTTCCTTTTTGGAGGGCCGGACGTTTCGGACAGTGGTCTATATCCTGCTCCAAATCTTGCTCTGTGTCACTTTCACCAATGTTACTTATACTGTTAGTTGGCATTTCCTGGTCTTTCGTGAATAGCAACAAATGTAAGTACCATAACGAAGCTACATTAAGATCGTCACCGGAAACTCTTCAACCTTCTTCATCTCCTTTTAAAAGATCCTTGCACATGCTCTGAACCTTCTCAATAACAAAATCGCGATGCTTCTGGATTTTTGTACATCTTCGAGCAGTACAAGTGAGAATCGACCTCTCAAATTGATTGCAATTAAATCACAAACTTCTCCATATCAACCACAAGCATATTTTATCTTGTTATACAGGGTGTTCTTAATAAAGGTCACCGGCCAGGCCATATCTATGAAACCTCAAAGCGGAAGGAATTCTGTGGAGTACTGGACTCGGATCATCAACTTTTTGGACGATAAGAACCTACACACTGTATTTAGTAGCACTTTTTATTACGAATGCAACTATGTACGTCACACAAATAAAAACAAAAGTTGTTGGTTTCAACAGGATGGTGCACCCGGGCACAACGTCTTAATCGCGCAAGCATACGTTTCTAACATTTTTTCTATTTTATACGATTATAAGGGTTTGGAACACGTTTTCATTAACTGCTCCTATACTGTGTGTCACAGCTTGCATACAATATATCTCCAATTAACAGCTTTATTTTATGAAGGTCTTAAGAGCATTAACTTCGATTGGATTTCTCCAATGTATACCTACATGTGTAAGAGGGTTGTTCCAGCAGTATATCTATTGTCGGTGCTCATGACATTGGCCAATTTTTACTATAGTCCCTTTTCCAATACCATAATTGTTTCCGCATTGGAGATATAGTAAATAAACTTTGAAACAGAAAGCCTGTAAACCTTAATATTGTTGATAAAAAACGAATTCTGAGCGCTTTCGCATCAAGGTGGTTATTATACTTTAAATAATGAATGTTTGTCCACTTAAGACTTTGAAAGCTCTGAAACTTCCATGGATCTTTTTACATACTTAAGGCTTTTGGTTTGACATTGGGATTTCATAAAAATCCATTCATTGTTTTCAATTCGTTCACCATTTACTTTGTAATTTCACTTTACAGCTTCATTTCCTTTTCAAATGAGTTCGACTCCTTAATTCATTTTGAAAAGGGCTTCAGTTTCAACTTTAATAAAACGCACGCGTTTCGACAGTAAGGCTGTCATCATGGTCGCTGAAAATCACTGCTTTGCTCTCGTAACGTGTAAGTTTAATTAAAGTTTCATTGCGGTTTGTTGGTGTTTTAGTTTCAGCTCTTTGTATTTTACGAGGGAGGACTTTTTAAATAGACTACCTATGTATGCATACGATGTCTGTATTGTAGTTCTAAGTACAAATTTTCGTTGGGACACTCTTTATAAGGATACGTTTAAATTTAAATTAGTTTTATGTACTTCACGAGACCACAAATCTTGAATGGGTCTAGTCGCCATCTTAATTTTCGTATTCAGCAGAAGGCAAGACTTTTTACTCGAAAGTAAAATGATTCGATGATTTCTGCGAATTCTACTCTGCAGGTGAAACATTTCGAAGCTCCTTGCATCAGTAAAGTGTGAAAAATTTTATATCATAGCAGGAATCTCGTCCACCCTGTTAAAATCATGGTCATAATGCTTTACACTAACACTCATAACCAATGATTTCACGCTACCCGTTTCATGCTTCACGTATTGGAACCATCACTTGGTCAATTTAATGCTTACACACTTGTAACAAAACAACGCAAAAAAGGGGAGAGTTTAGCTTCCTTCAGTTAGTGAATGAAGTAATTTAATTAGCATTTCCAAATAACGGTTATAACGATCGCCAACTTACGTTAGCACGATTTACTTTTACCAATTGATATGCAAGTGGAAGTCACGCACTACGTCAAATGATATGATTTGGTAGCACAATTAATTCCACTCCGCATGACTTCGTGTTAAAGCTTCATATTATGTGGAAACCAATCCGGTTATTGTTATTTGAACATTTTATTATCGGAATACCTGACTTTACAACTTAACTCAAATAAAAATAACCGTTGCGCAACGTTTTTTCATTCCAATAAATTGACGCCAAAATAACCGTCGTATCTACGTAATCAGTTTCCGTAGCCGTCGGTTTTGATGGCGGACACCTTCTGTCCGTTGGGGTGTAACGGCTCCCATTAGCTATTCAGGTGTAACATGTGCTTGGGTTTACTTTACCGGCCGCTCGTGGACAGGTGCGTATACACCTGCTCGAGCACCCTGTAAGTGTTCCTTCTATCTTAAATGGTAAAACGAATTCTTAAAGAATGAAAGAGGGTAAGAGGATTAATATACTTCACCTGCCTTTAAAGTAATTTTTTGACTCGAATAAGCTTTACTTGAAGCGCGTTAAGACAATCAGATCTAAATCTATACGAACTACGCCTTTGTGCTTATTGGTATATGGATGGATTCTATAGCCGCAGATCGTTCCCACATATTTCAACCCAAAAAGGCACATGTCAGCTTTAATCTTGGTTATTATCTGACTGCTGCATTGAATTAGATACGGACTGGAAAGATTCTAAAATCTAGTAACGTGACTAAAATGGTCTTCCCTAGTATCCAACTAACGGCTCATTTCAGCACAACCCACAAAGTTGTGCTTTCCTGTTCGCGTCATTCCAAAGCCGTGTAACCTTGGGAAAAGGATTTGTGAATGACAAGCTCAATTCTTCTTCCAATATTTACGCCTGCAATTTGCTGATAAGCCTTCTACCCTTCCAATCTACACATTTTTCTCTTAAAATGTCCATCAATTCCCACAGAACATCAAATGCCTTTACCAAATCAATTCGAATCGAATTGCTCTTCTGTCACATGTTCTTTTATTAGCCTTCTATTTAACAGTGTCAACAATATTCTATCATGCTGATTGTTCTATGCTCACCACACTTCTTTGTCCCTTTCTTTTTAGCCAGAAGTGTTCTTCAGGCAATCTTCACGCCATTCCCCTCATTCCATCTATCCCCGTAGCTTTACCTAATTTCATATCTTTTATTGCTCTTTCTACTTCGGTAAGCACAATACTGGCTCCTATATTGTCAGGACAAACTGATTTTTCAGTTTCCAGTTCCAATTGCCTTAGTTTTTCAATTGTTATGTAGTAGTATACTCCGCCATTGACTCAGAATTTCTTTCTCTTCTTTCAGTTCTTTCCCATTCCTTTCTTCCATCTCATTGCTACAAACAGCTCCTGATGATCTATCCCAGGTAACCGCTTCAATCCTGTCGTAAATAATATCGCGTCTTCCTATCCTATCAAGGTTTTCTATTTCATTACATTGATTTTCCCACCACCATTTCTTAGCTTCATCAGTTTCTTTTCCCAACTCCGTATTTTGCCTCCGATATTGTCTTATTCCTTCTTCGGTATTGATGTTTTTGTATCTTCCTCTCTTCCATCTTTGCTATCATTTCTTGATTTATCCAAGGCTCTTTGATCTGATTTCTTTTTTATATCCAACTTTTTCTTCACCTGCTTTGATTATTCCCGCCTTGATTCTGTTCCACTTACACTCTACACCTTTCCCGACTTGTGGCGACTTTAGATTCATTATTTCTTCACCCATCAATTTCTCCTACTTCTTCCTTGTCCATAGACTTTAATTTGCCTAAGTTCCATTTTCTTTCCGTGCTCTTTTGACAATTTTAAGTCTAATTCTGATGTTTGCCATAAGTAGAATATATGGTCACTATAAATATCGGTGCCTGGTAACCCGCACGCTCACTTTACTGAGTTTACTCCGTTTCTGTATCTTTGTTCTACAAGTTGAGATCTAATGCTGCTTTCGAGAAAAAAATTAAATGATACAGTTTTCAAACATTTCTCACAAAAAACTGGTATTGTGGGAAATATTTTTGTGCAATGCAGTCTCGCGAATTTTTATTAGTCAATCTTATCGTAGCGTAGGATACTACACGTGAACAACATCTAAAATTGAT